GGGGGGGGGGGGGGGGGGGGGGGGGGGGGGGGGGGGGGGGGGGGGGGCATGTTGCTTGTTTGTGTTCTGGACAAGAATTATGAGGCATGCTTTCATTCCCCCCGGTAGACGATGTATCAGTCAGTCCCTACGCGTGCCCATGTAGTCGGGGTTTTTTTGTGTGTGTGTCACCTCCCAAGCACGGGCGGTGCGGCCAGGATCACGTTGTGCGGCGATTGTCGCTGCACACTAGCTGTTGAGGCCATTTTCAAGAAGGCGAACTCCGTCTTGGTCGCTCACGTCCTCCCGGTTGTTCTCCGCATACTGCTGTTGTGAAGCCCGCGACTCTTTCTCGACATGCCGCCGCTGTTTCGTTGCTGCTCTTTTTGCTGCTCGTCCTCCTGGTTTCGTCTCTCTCCGGTCGACACTGGTTCAGTTTTTCAGAGTGGACACGAAGGACGTGACTGAGAGGTGGCTTCACAGCATTCTCTCCTGGAGGGTGAGGCAGAAAATGAAGCAGTAGCAGTAACAGCAGCGATCGCAGTAGCGAACGTAGTAGCGATAGCAGTAGCGATAGCAGTAGCGATAGCAGTAGCGATAGCAGTAGCGATAGCAGTAGTGGTAGCAGCAGCAGCGGCAGTCAGATATGTGCCTAGTAAAATCGGCAGCAGCCCGGCGCTCTCGACGGTGCTGTACTTTATTTTGGCCATGTGGAGAGAGAGGTCGAAACGCGATATGTCACCATGAAAACAGAACCTTAAATATTCCACGGCGGTTAGGCGAGGTGTTCAAGGGAGACACTTGTTTTTTTGTCGCCCCGGTCGAAGAACCGAGGGCGTGCTTCCTTGTTGAGTCAGACGTTATTCTCTTGGCCCTCTCTTTTTTCCTCGCCAGAGCGAGAAACGGTAATCAAATTATGCGTCGAAAGGTTCCCTTGTAGAACACCATGCTCGTAATCATGGACTTGCCGTAACTCGGCGTTTTCAAAGTCACGCCACAATAATTTCAGAGGTTGCCTACCCAGGTTCAGACCCAGATGTTGTGATTCTTACACCAGTCAGCATGGTTCACGCTTGCCTTTGTCCCGTGTTGATGTGGCCCCATGATATTCGTCAGTTCTCGCTCGTGCCATGCTAAAGCCCCCCCCCCTTCGTTGTTTGTTTGCGTATCGTATCGGCCGCGTGGCTTCAAGCGAGAAACGGGATTCCTGGATCTAGTCGCAGACAACCCCGACGCATACGGACCGTTCTGGGTAAGTTTTTTTTTTTTTTATGAACAATTTGGGTGATATTTGCTTGTTTTGTTCTCCTGCTTTGCCCTTCATGTTTCGCGAATTAAGTCTCGTTTGATTCGACGAACATCGTTTTTTGCGGAGAGGAGGCCTCGGGTGATGGGGGAGTGACGGGGGGTAAGAGAAGAGACGGGGAGCCCAGCCGTGGGAACTCCTTCGAAACACATGCGGGAGACGAATATTCGTCGATGGATACTGACCTGTGATGTGGCGTCCGGGGCGTGTCGATTTTTTCCCCTTGAATAACTGGCATGCGGACAAAAATCTTGTTCATGAAACAACCCCTCCCCCCTCGTTTGGAAAATCGCCTTCTTGTTCTCGTTCAGAACTCCACGTCGCTGATATTTCTGATCGCGTTCACCACCAACCTCAGCGAAGGGTGAGGCTTTTTTTTTTTTTGAAGGCTACGTTTGGTTGCGAGGGAGAGAGACAATACGCGGGAGGCATGGTCGCGTGTACGCGCGCGGTACTGCTGTAGCGGTGTACGGTGTATGGAAGGATGTTTGCTTAGGACGTGCTGGGAAAAAGAAAAACAGTGCATGTTGTGTTGTGTGTGTGTTTTTTTTTTTGCTTTCGTGTGTTGCGTGATGGGTGATTTTCGGATGTAACGTCTCTGTTCAACTCCGCCACATAGCCTCTGACTGAACTGATATCCCTGCAGATCCCTCCCCCTCAAGACTAACACAGTCGGTTATGTTTCGCCCGACATCGATCGTGGTCGTCCACACTGATTAATCTTGTCCCAAGAGAAATGAAGGGCGGAACAACCATCCATTCCTATTTTGTTCCTAACCAGCACTCATTGTTCCATCAACTCCGATCGCGTATTCCGCCATTGCCAACACGGGCCGGGTTCGAATATTAGGTCGTCGTCCCCGCTCTCTCTCACTCTCTCTCTCTCTCCCTCTCTCTCTCTCTCTCTCTCTCTCCCTCGGGTGGAGGCGATTTTTTCTTGTGCGTCTTCTCGACTGTCATGGTTTTGGGAAGTCTTGCCGTGTTTGTGGGTGTGTGTGTGCCACCTCATCGCGCTCGTATGTTT